TTTACTTGTTTATTTAAAGCTACCACTCCTCAAGTGGTTGCAAATCTTAAGACTTCTTAAGTCTACTTAAAAATTCTTATTTTAGTTTATAAGATGCTTTTTTGAGTCGTCATTTATTTTAAATTTAAAAATTAAATTTGTTTGAAGATTTTTATCTAATGTTATCTAGCTTTAGTTTACAATTAATAAGGAAATTAATGTATACAAAAAATTAAGTTTTAATATATAAGAATTTTATCTTAGAAATTTGCTTATAATAAGAAAGAATCACCAGAACAAATTATATAAAAAAGAAATGCAAAGGAATTTCTTAAATTTACTTGTCAAAGAAAAAAAAACTGGAAAGTCAGTAATGAAAAATAATTACTGTAGATATTACAGGAGGCAATAGATTACTTAACACGTTAGTTTTAATTTTTATAAAAGCTACTTGGAGATATTTTTATGCATAGAACTCGTGACCCAAGCTACTTCGATCTTTTATACTGGGTAATGAACCCACCCTTCAACATACAAGGACAGACATCGATTGTGTGTTAATCTCTAATCTTTGAGTTTCCTGGGTACACATAAAGTTCTAACTAATTTTTTTACAACTGGAAACTGACCAGAGTTATACTTAAAGAAAGAGAAATCGTAGTATATTGATTAGAGGGTGTTATAAATAAAATTGATTGATATTTAATACACTCGAGTCACTATGCTTTCAGCATAATGTTTACTTACTTTTATTGACATTGCTTTGTTAGTAGATCGTCAGGTCATTGAGTAAATAAAAATTTTTAAGAGCATTTCTTATCAGTTTAACTGTTTTTCGTTTAACTAACAGCTGCTTGTAGAATTTTTTTTTTAATAACGTACAAATTTGTCTACCAGTGGGATTATAATTTTTCTATGAAAAATTAGTCTTAAATTAGTTACAAAAATGCCTTAAGGTAAAAAAAAAAAATTTTTCGGCCTTAGTAAATATTTTTTAAGAAACAAGACTATTTAAAAAATTTTTAATAAATGATATATATATAAAGCGTGCAAAAATATTGAGGGTAATAATATAAATATGTTTTAAAAAATATTTTTTTTTTTCTGT